TTTTGAGAATTTGAATTAGAGAAAAAAACCTTGTTCACGCTTGTGTGTTTATTGTCTTCAATATGGACTTGTGAGAACTAATTGGGACAGGTGAGACACGCGGCACCGGCGGAACGTTCGTAGTTTGGGACGATGTGGGTGGACCAGGAAGACATCCGACCTCTGCACGCTGTGCGCGAATTTCGACGTTGCATGTGGCAGTTGCGACACGTGGCATGTTTCTCGTTGCGACACGTGGCATGCTTGTCTTTGCGAAACGTGGCATCGGAAGCGAGAGAGTGTACTCAGTATGGGGTGACCAGGTCGACAAGCGAGGCGTGGGTGCTGACGAGGACAGGTGCGGACGCGTGCATTCGCTACTTGGAACACGTGGCACCGATTTAACTGGTTGGCCTCTTTTGATATTGACGAAGTGGTTGACCGAGGACAAGCAACGTCTGGGTGCCGATGGCCACATGCGCGAAACGAGGCATGTGGTAGTTTGTGACATGCGTGAGTGTTCGCGTCGCACGTTGTAGTTGCGGCACGTGGCATGTTGTAATTGCGCCACGTGGCATCGGTGGGGAATGAGTAGTCACGGAACCAGGAGGACAAGTGATAAGTGTGGAGGCGTGGCACGTCGCACGTGCTAGTTGCGGCACGTGGCATGTGGTGGTTGTGACATTCGCGAGTATTCGCGTGGCGCGTGCTAGTTGCGACACGTGGCATGTGCGTATTGCGCCACGTGGCACTTGTGGGTGGAATGACTAGCACAGGACGAGGAGGACAAGTGAGATCTGATGGTGTTATTGTGTGGATAAGTGTCGAGGCGTGACACGCCCTCGTCGCACCACGTGGTGCCGTTGGAACGCGTTGTCGTCATCTTGTGAAGTAGCGGTCGTGGGACCAGGGGGACAAACGACTTTTGGGGGGCAGATGTGCAGCGCGGGTGTGACACGTGGCTTGACATCTGGCTTGATACGTGGCGTGCGCAGCACATGGTCTTGTTGACGTTGAACGGATCGGGACGGGTGCGACACGTGTCACCTGTGGGATGGTCGAAGATGTTTTTGGTGGAAGCACAATGAGGGACCGCCAGGAGGGGAAGCGACTTCTGGGTGTGACACGTGGCGAGCACGGGTGTGACACGCGGCGAGCACACGACACGTCGTTGTTGTTGTTGTTTAACGGAGCCTGTGGATGCTTGATCGGGACAGGTGGGACGTGTGGCACCCGTGGGACGCGACGGTTGCAGATGGTTTTTGGTGGGGACCACACACAATAAGGGAACTCGCGCCGTGTCGAACGCACGGGGGGCACGTGGTATGCCGTGCCTTCGCACTGGATGCGTTTAAGGCCGTATTCACACCACTAACCTTACATAATGTTTTTCTGAACGTAATTGCTGTCAGATAAATCATTTCCGGCCTTATATTTGGTCAGATACATTCAAGATAGACGGTGCTAGTGTGAGTCCGCACTGAATGAACACGCCAACCTTCGCAACGAGTACTGGAGGGACAAATAAATACAAACAACAACAAGGATAGAAAAACAAAAACAAAAAAGGCATTCCGCTGACTTCTAGAGAGAGGGAGAGCGAGCGAGCGAGCGAGCGAGCGAGAGAGAGAGAGAGAGAGAGAGAGAGAGAGACAGAGAGAGAGGGAGAGAGGGGATTTCGACGTCGCCGCTGCGGCTTTTTTTTTTCCCCCGACATCTGCTCTTCTTCTCTGTGGCTGGCACTCGGGGAAATGGAGCTGCGGGTGAGTTTGAGCCCCTTATCCCGTCGGGATCCAGATCGCCGTCGCATGACGCTGGGAAGTCCGGACGGCTCCTGGTATCGGGATCGAGATCGCAATCTCCTCCGTCTGGCGGTCGTCGCTGCAATGATCTTGATTCCGTTGGCTGAAGTGAATGGCTCCAGACCAGGTCCCAGCGAAGGTGAAAGTTCCAGTGAAAGTTCAATGAGTGCATCAGCCGCAGTTTCCGGCAAGGTGAAGGATTCACAAACGACAGGAGGAGGAAGGGAAGCAGGAGCTGTTCGTGGAAGATGCGTGCCAGACGACCTGAAGGTAATCAATCAATCAATCAATCAATCAATCAATCAAGTAATCAATCTATTAATCAATCAATCAATCAATCAATCAATCAATCAGTCAATCAATCAATGCTACTATCCTGCGTCACTTGGTCCAACAGCCTGCGCATGTTCCGAAACTTGCCCGTCCGGCTGCCTCGATATTTCGGGATCTTTTCGATAGCTTCTAGAGACAAACTTACCCTCCCAATATCAAAAAATATTTTGCACCTCATGTACCTTCCTGGGCATGCTTGGCGCCCGCCACCTAGAGATAGTCTGTTGTTGCCCCCAATTGGCATTAAAAAGCAGTCTCTGCTGATGTTCATAGGGGGAGGGGTAATCGGGGAGGCACAGCGACTGGCCACTCAGATGATGCTCGGTCCCTCTGCCACTGGCTGTCCCCTGGCCGGTGTCCCCCCGTTGGGGGTTCCCTGAAGGCTATCAGGCCACCGTTGTCAGATTAGACACAAGATTGAATTTACCTGGGCTGGTTAGTCGATGATAATACCTCAAGGCCATCGCCCTTAAATTAAAAAAAAAAA